ATAAAGTTTACTTAAGAAATACCAAAAAATCGACGTACACGGGTCCCATGTACGTCCGGACGTGGAACACATAATGGGTCCTTCGATTCTCTGTCCAAATTCAAGACCATACTTGTCAACTCTCCCTATTTTGGAGGGACCCTATAACTGACCATTTTGAACCAGTGAATTTGCACTGAACATTTGCTATATTTTGTGATTTAATGATTTCATCTGAAAAAATATCAAGAAATGTACTCGTTTAAAGTGTTATTTTTTAGCCCGCCATCATCAGATGGTGTGCTATTTAAATGGCCCTTCGTCCGTAGTCCGTCCGTCATTCAACAATTCTTGTTAGCGCTATTTCTCAGAGAGTACCGGAGGATTTCTCCTGGTTCCTGGTTATGTATAATGAGTTTTGGGACTGATCGAAAAACCAAGATGCGGACACGCGGCCATCTTGTTACAGTTTAAGGTTGTTATCGCTATTTCTCAGAATGTACTGGAGGAATCTTTCTCAAATTTGATAGGTAGGTTCCCATTGGCTCTAAGTTGTGCATGTACACTTTTGAGGTTGATCAAAAGACTGATTAAGATGGAGAACAAGAAATTTAGCATTACTTTTTATGTCTTTATTTATTTTTATGGTAATTAAAATTAACCGTTGCCTCATTCAAATAGACAGCACTATCTACTTCAAACTTCTGTCAAAGACTTTTTAATGCTGCTAGCAGCATGCAGTGCAATGGCATCAACACTTAAAGACGACAAGGTAATAATAAGTTGGTTTTTAAGTCGGGATGGCGGGACTTGAATGTTATTTTTCCGGCGGCGACGTCTACGTGAAGTTTTTGTGTTTAGCTCTGTTTCTCAAAAGGCATTATAGTATACTAGACCAACCAAACTTGGACCATCCATGCGTCCTATAGCCATGTGCCCTATATTTCGCGGTCCAGTGACTCTGACAGCATCTTCATCAATGTTAAGTTTTTGAGTTTAGCTGTGTGTTTCATGCTGTTCCCAAAAAGTTAAAGTGTTGGACTAACTAAACGTGGACTGTAGGTGTTTCAAACGTTGTGCAATTCAAACCAAGCATCATATGCTGAATGTGCCCTATATTTCTCGGCCCAGTGTTTACCAGAGTCGTAATTTGGCTGATCTCACAAATGCATCAAAATTAGTGACATTATGTACCTTGTCAATATTATTTTATCGTGGCCGCAAATACACTTGCACAGACTGAGATTCCCAAAATTATAACCCGCTAATATTTTCTTGACACAAAGGAATGAAAATAAATACTTATAAGAATCAAAATTTACGGGACACATTATGGTAATGCATTGTCCATTCGTCCGTCCGTTTTGGCCGTGCATCCGTCCGTTAGCAATTCTTGTCATGAAACTCAACATTCACATGAAAATTCCGAACTTCGGGTCGAACTAAAAATGCTTCACACAATAAATATTTTGATCAAGGCGGGGACAGAAGACACATCTAATTACGTGCAATTCTTGTTCATAATAGTCACAAAAATAAATATTCCTCGGTTGAACGTATAAAAAGAATCTCAAATAAGTTCCTAACTGACTTTTATACGAAACTAACCGTAGTCCGTTTATGTAATTCGAATTGGTTTAATATTCGGTATAATTTTAATTAATTCAATTTCTAATAACTAGAGACGCAATTAGCATCAAAGATAACTTTCTCGTCTATTTGGATTTTTCTGAGATATCAAACTAGCGTATCACGGGGGGATTACACATATTATAAATCGCAGTGGTTTTGTAATGACGCTCGATATTTCACACTGTTTTTGTATCAGCAGCGATTCGCATAACAATTGTGCCCAAGACAAACACATTTAGTAAACTATTTGAAATGTCAAAATTTACAATTCACCAGGACGGGATAGTGAAATTGATTGTTTCCCCTTGGAAAATGTGTATACATGGATATCAACAACAATACAGTCCCACCGGTATGCTGAAATGTGTACTTAGCAAATAACGACCTGAACCTAAATTGACTCCGGTCACAATGTAAATCAATGGGCATTCAGTCATGTCCATTACTTTTAGTTGTTCCACTGGTCACCCGTGGTTAATAATAAAAGAAAAAGCTCGCACCGTCCAAGCGAAGGTACATATTGACGTTCTGTTAACATATTCAACAGAAACACTTCTATTGGATTTCTATTTCGGAAATTGTGTATATTTATATTTTCAATCTAATTGAACTCCCAAACAAACAAACGCATGAGTGGTCATTTGCCACGCCCGTTACAAATATGAGTATACATGTACAGAGTATTGAAATTCTTGTGCTCGCGGCCAAAACACAGGATACTTTACTTACATACCAGTGCCCTCGGACCAAAACACCAAATAATGCACCTACATCCGAGTACCCTCGGGTTCTAATGCCAGTCAATGTACTTACATCTCAGTACTCTTGGATCTAACACTAAATAATGCACATACATCCGAGTACCCTCGGGTCCTAATGCCAGATAATGTATTTGCATCTCAGTACCCTCGGATCTAACACTAGATAATGTACCTACATCCGAGTACCCTTGGGTCCTAGTGCCAGATAATGTACTTACATCTCAGTACCCTCGGATCTAACACTAGATAATGTGCCTTCATACGAGAACCCTCGGATCCTAATGCCAGATAATGTATTTGCATCTCAGTACCCTCGGATCTAACACTATATAATCTACCTACATCCGAGTACCCTCGGGTTCTAATGCCAGATAGTGTACTAACATCTCAGTACCCTCGGATCTAACACTATATGATGTACCTACATCCGAGTACCCTCGGATCCTAATGCCAGATAATGTACTTACATCTCAGTACCCTCGGCTCTAACACTATATGATGTACCTACATCCGAGTCCCCTCGGATCCTAATGCCAGATAATGTACTTACATATCAGTACTCTCGGATCTAACACTATATAATGTACCTACATCAGGGTACCCTCGGATCCTAATGCCAGATAATGTACTTACATCTGAGTACCCTAGGATCAAACACTAGATAATGTACCTACATCCGAGTACCCTTGGGTCCTAGTGCCTGATAATGTACTTACATATCAGTACCCTCGGATCTAACACTATATAATGTACATATATCCGAGTACCCTCGGGTCCTAGTGCCTGATAATGTACTTACATCTCAGTACTCTCGGATCTAACACTATATAATGTACATACATCCGAGTACCCTCGGGTTCTAATGCCAGTCAATGTACTTACATCTCAGTACCCTCGGATCTAACACTATATAATGTACATATATCCGAGTACCCTCGGGTCCTAGTGCCTGATAATGTACTTACATCTCAGTACCCTCGGATCTAACACTAGATAATGTACCTACATCCGAGTACCCTTGGGTTCTAATGCCAGATAGTGTACTTACATCTCAGTACCCTCGGATCTAAACTAGATAATGTACATACATCCGAGTACCATCGGATCCTAACGCCTGATAATGTACTTACATCTCAGTACCCTCGGATCTAACACTATATAATGTACATACATCCGAGTACCCTTGGGTCCTAATGCCTGATAATGTATTTACATCTCAGTACCCTCGGATCTAACACTAAATAATGTACCTACATTCGAGTACCCATGGGTCCTAATGCCAGATAATGTACTTACATCTCAGTACCCTCGGATCTAACACTATATAATGTCCCTACATCCAAGTACCCTCGGGTTTTAATGCCAGATAGTGTACTTACATCTCAGTACTCTCGGATCTAACACCATATAATGTACATACATCTCAGTACCCTTGGGTTCTAATGCCAGATAATGTACTTACATCGCAGTACCCTCGGATCTAACACTATATAATGTACCTACATCCGAGTACCCTTGGGTTCTAATGCCAGATAATGTAGTTACATCTCAGTACCCTCGGATCTAACACTATATAATGTACCTACATCAGGGTACCCTCGGATCCTAATGCCGGATAATGTACTTGCATCCGAGTACCCTAGGATCAAACACTAGCTAATGTACCTACATCCGAGGACCCTTGGGTTCTAATGCCAGATAATGTGCTTACATAGCAGTACCCTCGGATCTAATACTATATAATGTACCTACATCCGAGTGCCCTCGGATCCTAATGCCAGATAATGTACTTACATCGCAGTACCCTCGGATCTAATACTATATAATGTACCTACATCCGAGTACCCTCGGATCCTAATGCCAGATAATGTACTTGCATCGCAGAACCCTCGGATCTAACACTATATAATGTACACACATCCGAGTACCCTTGGGTCCTAATGCGAGATAATGTATTTACATCTCAGTACCCTCGGATCTAACACTATATAATGTACCTACATCCGAGTACCCTCGGATCCTAATGCCAGATAATGTACTTGCATCTCAGTACCCTAGGATCAAACACTAGATAATGTACCTACATCCGAGTACCCTTGGGTCCTAGTGCCTGATAATGTACTTACATCTCAGTACCCTCGGATCTAACACTAGATAATGTACCTTCATCCGAGAACCCCCGGGTCCTAACGCTAGATAATGTACTTACATCTCAGCACCCTCAGATCTAACACTAGATAATGTACCTACATCAGGGTACTATCGGTCCCTAGCGCCAGATGATGTACTTACATCTCAGTACCCTCAGATCTAACACCAAATAATGTACTTACATCTCAGTACCCTCAGATCTAACACCAAATAATGTACCTACATCCGAGTACCCTCGGGTTTTAACGCCAGATAATGTACTTACATCTCAGTACTCTCGGATCTAACACTAAATAATGTATCTACATCCGAGAACCTTCGGGTTCTAATGCCATAACAAAGTTTCTATTCATACATATAACAGTCATACACATTTAATACAGCACTAAAGGATAATTATTAAACATGAATATAAACAGTAAATCACTAAATGAAGCTGAAGTTTCTAGCACAAATCACATTCTCTGTATATATCACTTAAGTCTCTAGTACAAAACACTCTATCCCAGATGCAGAAGCTGTGATGCTGAATCGGCGTAGGTCATCAGGTCGATAGTTCCAGTCTGATAACGGTCTGGGTGTCCAGGCGTCTGTCGATGTTGGCGTATCTCTTCTTTCTCTCTGGATCCGGCTGATGTCATTCACGTTCTGTATGTCCTTAAACGTCTGGATGATGGTGTAGATGTTGGAGTGGGCATGCAGTACTCTTTTCTTCAGTTTTCCGTGCCAAGCTTCCAGATGGTTGGTAGTCCGAGGTCCTTCTGTTGAGAAGTGGTCCAAGGTTGGTCGGTCTCCTTCTACCCATTGCTCTGTTACGTAGTCGGTGAAAAGCAGCACGGGATGTGGTATGTCAGCATCATCAGCATCTTCAAGGGTTTGGAACCAGATGTCTTCTATGCGGTCTAAGGGGATGAGTGGAAGAACAGCAGCTCGGCGGACAAGTAGTTTGACGTCATCGTTCTCACGGTACAGTGTCTGGAGTCCGGTTGACTGGGCCTTTCGCCAAATACATTGAGTGTAATGGAAAAAACAGCCTTTTATGTTGATTCCAGGGACGACACTACGGATGGCGTTTGCCATCTTGTAGTTGATGTATCAAAGCACACAATAACAGATAAAGTCACACAAGTTCACACAAATCTGAAAATAAGTTCAAGTTTTATATGACAATAATTATAAGAGAAATCACACAAGTCTGAAAGTACAAGTTTAACTAAAACGATGACAAATTCTGAATACAAAATTCACATTCAGTGAGTAAAGAAGTTGATGTTTCCAAGTACAGAGCGAAATATGATAATTCTCCAAAGTGTGCTGCTGTTTTATACATTATCCATTTAACAGTTTGGGATCGGAACTCTAGATATTATTGATTCTTTTGCAATTATTAGCAGCTAGTGATTATCTCATTAGTTATCAGAAGAACAGCTTGGTATCGGAACTCTAAATATTAATTATTATTTTGCAATTATTAGCAGCTATTGATTATCTGATTAGTTATCAGAAGTTCATGTTTATGTTCATGTTCTTTATTTGCTGAAGTTTAACAACTTATGGCAATTACAGATAATACAAAGACACTCACAAGGAAACACTCACACTGACTCTGAAACATCATCCTCATCATCAAGAACACTCACACCAACTCGCACACATCATCCTCATCATCTTCATTAACCTCATCTTCATCATAATCATAATCATCATCATCATCTTCTCAACATCATCATCATCATCATCATCATCACCATCATCATCATCATCATTACACCATTACATCATCATCATCATCATCACATCATTACATCATCATCATCATCATCATCATCACCATATAATAAACAGCAGCAGCAATCATTCGTCATTCATCATACTCGCATTCATACACACGCAAGAACCATTCTTCACCCTCATTCACCCATACAAGACTTATCAATATAATAGTATATTACATAATTTGTATACAATAAACTGATGTACAACATGTATCTTAAGGTCATTGGAGTGTATTGCTAAACGGAAACAGGAAATACATCCCTAGTTGAATATCCAATGTAGGGAGACAGCATCACAATTTCCGCAACTTCTAATGTTTAACATTAAATTGATGAATATTGCATGTTTATTATTGACAGAACAGTGTGTTATCTAGATATTAAAGTATTTAAAAGCAATCCAGTCATTGATTCAGGTTTATTTAATCAATGAGTCACATGTGTCCATTTTTCTGTACTTCAGAAAACCGGCTACCTATTTCACTACAGTGAAGTTTTTCAAGAACGATAACTCTTACCTGCAATTACTATGTGTATATGGTTTTATTATAAAATGTCAATTTTTATATCGTGTATAGAGAATTAATTTTAAACAATTTCAGCATTTATTAAAATGATATACATTGATGCAATACTAATATATGTCAGTATCATTTTTATTGACATTATTTTGTAAAAATATTGTGTCTTTCATTTTTTTTTCAAAATTCACTCCTTTTTACATAAATTTCCATTTAAAATCCTTAAAATTCTGACAACCTATTTTTTTTTTGG